ACGTGCGTGAATGCGCGCTGCGGGCAGCGACGTGGGGGATGGGCGTCAGAAGCTCGTTCACGAACAAACGTTTGTTTTCATTGGCTGTTATTATTTGGGTAAGCCTGGATTTTTCTAAAGCCTGTAGTACCACCGGGAAAAGCAAGAGGACTCTTTTTCCCCCATAGCTTACCTGTCTAATATCAATCTGTCAGGAGATAGTGACAGAGTGAACAAATATGTTAAAAATATATTTTTAGAAAAGTTACATACTGCACCTTTAAGAACAAATCTGTTCGTATGAACGGTTCTTGCATGAGGCCCATTGTTTGAAATAAATAAGCAAAATTATGAATCAAAAAGTGACATGTATCAGGGTTGGTTGATAAGATTTATTTGATTCCTGTCTGTCCAAAAGGGTGACAAATTTAGACACTCCACCTACAGATCTGAAGTCTTCTTCGGAGGTGTATAGTAACTTAGTACATTAACTTTGTTATAGTACTGAAGTAATTTTTGGAGGATGTGTAATTTTGCCAAGTATTTTTTTGATTGTAGCTTTTACTTTTATTTTATTCCATTCACAGCCTAAAACTGATACTTTGCTTCTTTACTTTAACATTTAGCACGTTGTTACATATTAATAATTTAAATATGACCAAAACTCATCATGAAACGTTGATTCTGCACTCTAAAAATGAAGTGTTGAATTTACTGAACCAAGTTGAGTAAATGTAATTTACTCTGTTCTATCCAGTGGGAGTAGTTTGCTTAAGTAAATTCAACAATACATTTCTTTAACTTTTCAGATTACTGTGAGCACTTTTATGACTTTTACCTAAGTACCTTTCTCACCAGTGAAATTCATTTTTACCAAAGTCGTTTTCTCTAAAGGTATTTTTACTTTTACACGGTTATTTCTTTCAAGTACTCCATAGACCTCTGTCCACCGTTAATGTTACAAATTTTTACACTTCTATAAATATTTCCACAATACTATTTAACTGCAGCTGTAGGAGACCATACAGCAGACCCCCTCACCCCCACACACAGCACTCCAGACCTCAACTTCCTTTATCTTTACTCATTTTTCAGTCTTATATGCATAAGGTGAAAAAAAAGCACATGTGCGTGTTAAAAACAAATGTTCAAAAATAGGTGTTTTCAGGAATTTAAGGAAAAATAAATGAATTTTAGCAATTAAAAAGACAAGACTTTTTAACTTTTATTGATGGTACCAACATGAAAAATTAAAAATATGTGTATTTCCTTACCTTAAAACCACTATAACATTTCTCTAGATTATTTTAGAAGCACATATCTTTACACAGGTAATGTC